CTCTAATAGGTCTGCCCCAGTCATTAGCCTGTCCTCAAGCACTACCTATAAGCCAAGGTGTCCAAATTAAACCACACTAGAGCATAAAGAGGCCCTCCAACTACTAATCAATCAGCTCTACCATTAGCTTGTATGATTACACATCCTTTACCCATTAAGAAAAACCACACACACACACACACACACACACACACAGATATTTTCATTTTTCCTTTCCCTAAAGTACTGACCCAAGTTAAAATATGGGGAAAGCCTCTAACCTCTTAAAAACTTGCATATGTATAACTGGAATAATTACTTGATTTGTGATTTGGGGGGACCACTTAGTAATATGCTAATTGCCAAGTTTTGAAAGATATGTTTTAATAATCATTTATTTTTTTCTGAACGACCTTTAAATGGAATTCCTCCCACCTAAACAATCTATTTTACATAAGAAAATAAAGACTTTTCAGTGTTATAAGCAGGCTGTTATTATCACTTAGAAGGGAAAACAATTCACTCGGTCACCTCTGAATCTTCCAATTACTCCGAAGTCTTTTCTGCATGGATTTATAGCCATTGCTGGTGGTAAATACTTCCTTTTTGTATGCATTGAAAAGAATGGTGCTCCGAAGCTCTTTCTCCATGGTCACCTTATGGAAAAAAGAAGGGATCAGAGAAAAGGGAAACAATAAACAATATTCCAAAAGAAAGACCCTAAAAGGAACCAATAGTCTACTTCTTATAATTCATTAAGAAAAGGTGGGCTTCCCTGGTGGCGCAGTGGTTAAGAATCCGCCTGCCAACGCAGGGAACACGGGTTCAAGCCCTGGTCTGGGAAGATCCCACATGCCGCGGAGCAACTAAGCCTGTGCACCACAACTACTGAGCCTGTGCTCTAGAGCCTGCGAGCCACAACTACTGAAGCCCATGCACCTAGAGCCCGTGCTCCACAACAAGAGAAGCCACCGCAATGAGAAACCGGCGCACCGCAATGAAGAGTAGCCCCTACTTGCCGCAACTAGAGGAAGCCCGCGCGCAGCAATGAAGACCCGACGGAGCCAAAAATTAAACAAATTAATTAATTAAATAAATCTATTTTAAAAAAAGGTACACAGCTGCAACTTAGCTACAATTTCCCTACAATTCAAAGGCTGAAATCATGGCTGCAGAAACCCAAGGCAAACCCTGGGCTTCCCATCAGCCCACTTCCATGGCCCTGCCCTGCCATCACACTACAGTGTGGGGAACCATATTTCCAACCTGATTCCTCACGGCTAACTATTGTTAAGTGTGGGGTATAGTTTTCTAAATTCTCTTTATACATATGGTAACTTATAGTTTTATTTACTAAATAGGACCATATGCACTATTCTGCAACACACTTTTTTCACCTAACCTGTATCTTTCACATCTTTCCATGTCACTATATATGGATCTACCACTTTCTTTTTAACTGCTGCACAGCATTCCATTTTGTGGATGTACTGAAATTTATGTAACCACTCATATACTGATTGACATGTTTTTTCCCCAAAATTTTTGCTAGTAAAAGAATACTACAAACATCATCTTTGAACATGATGTTTTTGTGCACTTTGCATATCTATAGAATAAATTCCTACCTGTTGAATAGCTAAGTAAATGATTTCCAAATTGCCCTCCAAAATATTGTACTAATTTTTACTTCCACTAACGCTAATATAGTTGTTTCCACACAATCTTATTTTTAATTTTTTTAATCTTTGCTAATAAGACAGGCAAAAAAAAATCCTTATTATTTTAATTTGCACTTTGAAATTAGTAAGATGGCCATCTTTCACTGTTTATATTGGCCACTTGTATTTCTTCTGATTTTCTTGTTCATATACTCTGCTATTGGGTTTAAAATTTTTCTAATTGATCATTAAATAAAGACTTCCATAAGTTTATTTGTCTTTAGACTTAGCTGCTGGTAGTTTTTTTGGTTTAGTTTGCTTGAATTTTGCAGGCCACACAGAAAGTTTAAAATTTTATAGAGTCGAAAGCATTAATCTTTTCCTTTCTGGCTTCTGGATTGCATGACATATTTAGAAGGGTTTTTATTTATTTATTTATTTATTTTTGGCTGCGTTGGGCCTTCGTTGCTGCACGTGGGCTTCCTCTAGCTGCGGCAAGTGGGGGCTACTCTTCGTTGCAGTGCGCTGGCTTCTCATTGCGGTGGTTTCTCTTGTTGCAGAGCACGGGCTCTAGGTGCGTGGGCTTCAGTAGTTGCAGCACATGAGCTCAGTAGTTGTGGCGCACGGGCTTAGTTGCTCCATGGCATGTGGGATCTTCCCGGACCAGGGCTTGAACCTGTGTCCCCTGCATTGGCAGGCAGGTTCTTAACCACTGAGCCACCAGGGAAGCCCTTTAGAAGAGTTTTTACCATGCTAAGACTATAAATACATCCAACAATGCTTTCTCCTAGTACTTTTATGATGTCAAAATTTTTAAGACTTAAATTTTAGTCCATTTGGACTTTGTTTTGGTGCTTTAATTTTGTTATTGTTTTAATTACTAGCAAGCTGCCTGACACCAATCCATCCCTTCTATGCTAATTTAAAATACCACCTTGCCTATATAATAAATCCCTAAAAACTGAAATCATGAATTCTATATATTCTATCTGCCTGTAAGTTCCTGCCCAATTCCATACTATTTTAATTACTACAGGTTTATAATATGTATGTTATAATACTTGGTGGTGCTGATACGAACTAATCTCTCTTATCACTCTTAAGTTTTAGAATTTTTCTCGTTAGTCCCACATATTTATTTTTTAGGTTGAACTTTCAAATCATTTTGTCACTTAAAAAAAAAATCCCCCCATGATCCCACCACAGCTATCTTTTCATGTTCCATTCCATCCATGCCTATGCTTATTTTCACAGTGTGTACATACAACATTGTATTCTGCCTTCTGATTAGATTAGTGGTTGCGTAGTTATGCCATAATAAACTCAATCTTCATGAGCATCTTTTCAATTTTTTGCCATCGTAGATCCTACTGAAATGTACATATTTCTGCTTCTGCCATTAATTATTTTTGCCGTAGGACAGATTCCTAAGAGCAGGATTCCTAGAAAAAGGGGATGGAACTAGGATGTCACATTATGGTTTCTTGTCCAATGCTCTTTCATACTGAGCAGGATGACTAAACATCTCCCAGCCGAAGGCGAGTTAGATTCGAGCCCAGTCTGAGGTCCGGGATCTGGGCCTATATATGCGCCCCCCCACACACACACACACTCTTACTTTACCCTAGCGGACCTCGATTTTCTCTAAGACGGGCCCAGCGGCCTCGAGGACAGTCCGGCGAGGCCCTCGCCAATTCCCAACACCTCGGTCGGCCCACCACGGTCGGAGTCCGTCTTACCTGAGGCCCAGTGACCACCATCTTCACCTGACACCGCCCACCATCCCGCGGCCAGGTATCCAAGGCCGCTTAGCAACTGCGGAGGCGAAGCTGCGCGCTGGAAGGGCGTGGACCCGAGCGTGGAACTACCTCCGGAGCGACGTGATGACGACAGGACGGAAGAGGCCGATTTACCTAGCTAGCGAGGAGGGAGAAGTATGGGTGGGGGCAGGGGGCGGGACTAATGTGGGACTGTACCATTATTTTAGATGAGGGGTAAATCCAAATAGAATGTGGATTAACTTTAGGCCAAAGATAAACTCATTTCATTTTCTCCTTTAATACCCAGTCTCATTAAAGCCTGATAAAAATGATAGGCACAAGGGCCCAAACTTCGTCCCACCCTGAGAAAGGAGACTAGTGGAGGCTTCCGACGGAGAGTGCGGAAGGCCCAGCCTTGACCCCAAGCGCGCAGGCGCAGAGCGGTGGCCCGATGCGGGGCGGGGCTTTGCGGCTGAGGCTGCGGCTGCGGTTGTGGGTCGCTGTCGCCCTTTTTAAAACGCGGGACACGAGGCACTGCGCGCGTTATAAGAGGGTTTCAGCGCCCTGGGAGGCCGGGGAGGCCCTCCAGGAGGAGGGTGGGCAGGTGTAGTGGTGAGGATGGGAATATGAGATAATTCTTTCTGTTTGATTAGTCCCACATCTCTGAGCGCAACAGTGCCACGCCCAGGTGAACCAGCCTCTGGGCATCCCCTGGCGGCGAGTTAGACCTGACCAGATTCTACCAAAAAATAAAAATATAAACTTTTAAGGGAGCTGTGAGAGGCCGAAGCTGGGCAGACAGGGGTCCCCGTTGAGCAGAAAAGTGAGAGAAGAATGGTTCATTAAGGCAAGGGTTGGGGAAGGGCATTTGGGCAGAAGGAACTGCTTATGCGGAAGAGCCATCGCCAAGTACGGTTTGCCCTAATGTCGCCGTGAAAATGAGAAACCAGACGCCGATAACCACAAACAGGCAACCCTTCTCCCCAGGGGAGGGCTCAGTGCCTGCCCTGAGGGAGCGTGGACGTGTGTGCAATGCAGCTGTCTCGCTGGCTCAAACCGATGTGAGCAGAGACTTTAGAATTTTTGTTACAGTCTTCAGCGGGTACAGAGTAGTCGGAGTTTTAGGGTCTTAAAACACACACACACACACACACACACACTACTCCTGTTGCTTTTTCACAACTACTGTGACTGCAAAGTTAAAAAGTGAAGAAGAGAGTGATTGTGATTTCTCTTCCTGAGGATGCTGTCTTTTGGTACCAAATTGGGTGAATACAGTTTGCAGTCAGGCTCTGCCAGAAGACCAAAAAAGTAGCTGCCCAGAGCACTTCTTCCGCTATTGGAGGTTGTAGACAGAGCAAGGGCCTTAGAATCAGCTGAACCAAGTTCAGTTCCTGGCTGTGCCTTGGACCATCTGGGTGACCTTGGGCAAGTTGCTTACTATCTCTGAGTGACAGTTTCTTACCTGTAAAGTCAGGTTAATAATTTCTAAACGCTGGCTTATTGTGAGGATTGTAGATAATGCACATGCAGCTCAGAATGTGCTCAATAAACCGAGGTGTGAACATATCTGTCTGATATTGAACAGATCAATTCAAGATTCATAATTTATCATTTTTATTTCCTATCCTGGTGAAAATTTTGTGATTTTACAGTCTTAGAGCAGATAGAACCGTTACGTGTTTCACAACCCATAGAAGGTTGTATACTTTGACAATACTATCACGTTTCTGACAACTATGCTCTGTTGCTTTTTGCTTTGGGAAGTTGGGGGGATTTTGGCTTCGCCCTCATCACAGTTCACACTTTTCTATTAGCAGATGCTATTAAGATGGAAATCATAGTGTTTCGCTCAGAATTCACAGCACATATCAAAGGATAATAGTAGCTCTTCTTGACTCAGCTTTGATCCCCAGTAGGTCAGTGTCAGTGTCATTGGTGTGTTTTCCATGGTCTTCCAGCTTCATCCCCCATAATTCCTGGGGCAGGGGGCTGGATAAACAAAAATGTAAGGCAAAGAGTGGGACTGAGTTAAGAGGAAAAGGCAGTAAAATCACCAGCACACACTGATGTTAAGAAAGTTCTTCTCTTGTTCACAAATCAGAAAGCTAATGAGACCACCATGAAGTAGGTGATGAACCACAAGCTTGTGAAAAAGACTTTTGTGGCACTGAAATAAGGCAGCACGATCCATCAGATAAGTGCAGGGTGTCCTGGACTCATGGGGTGTTATATGCTCACATTCCATCCAATCAGTATTGCTTTTAGAAATGGCTAATCCCCAGGACTGTACCAGCCCCAGCCTGGGCTCCCTATGGCCCTAGACCTGCCAAACATACAGAGGTATGTGAGGTAGAGCATAGCATGAACTTGGCAGCCAGGCTCAGACGATGAGCATCCAGTTGAATGCCTCCTCTTCAAGACCCTGTTTCCCATAACCCGGCTTGGCTCTCCTTAGAGATTTTGAAAGTCATTCTGCTTGGATCTAACAGAGTGAGAGGCAGACCAGCACAAAGGTTACCTGTGAGAGCCCCAGAGTCAGCTTATATGGCTCCAAGTCCCAGCTCTGGCCCTTGTTAGCTATGTGACCTCCAGGCAAGGTACAACTTCTCTCTGTTTCTTCATTGGTAAAAAGGGGATAGTTGCTCCCTTGGGGTTGTTTTGATGAAAACTGAGACTTGAAAAAGTCTAGCACAGAAACTGGTTCAGCATAGGCAAATGTTCTCAAGCTGACTTTGACCAGTTAAGCAAAGAAGGAGTGGTTAACAGGATCAGAATCTCTCAAAATCATTGGGAAAACTAGAGAATAAGAGTCGAGGATTCCCAGGAATGACAGGAATGATGCTGCAGCACTGATCTGATGAGGAAACTGATGCTGCCAATAAGTACCAATTGCTATATCGTTGCCACTTCTACACCAGGAGCTCCGTTTTGTGGGTGTTGTTACCGCAGCTACCACATGAAAGAGAGCTCCCAGTTCCTTCCTTGAGTCAAAAATCTGGCACAGGTGCATCCTGAGGCCACATGCCTGGCCCGAGCCGCAGGGTGGGCTGGGAAAGTTAGTATCTAGTATTTTCAGCTACTGTAAGTGGAGGTAGTTATTGCCTCTCATTATGGCTCATAAAACAGGAGATTCCCTGAATATAGCAAGAGGTTCAGATGCCAGGCAGACAAACCTAACAAATGTGCAATCCACCCACCCAAAGAAAGACATCATCGACATAGAAAAATAAGAGGGTGTTGGGTGATACCCTATAGGCTTGTTACATCTCCGTCATTTTACACATTGAGATCAAACTCCAAACACCAAGAGACCCTCTGGTAAAGAGGTGCTGGTTGCCTACCCAACATTTCCCCCTTCTCTCTTAGTGTTGGACCCCTGTATTATTGTGGGGAGTAATGTGCCCAGTTAATCAGACATATATCCCAACCTCCATTACAGGTAGGGTGGACGGCTACTGAGATGCAAGCAGAAGTCATTGGGTGGGGCTTCTGGGGAAGCTCTATAAAGGTGCCCTTTTGCCGTTTCCTCCTTTTTCCCTGCCCAGGACACAGAAGCAGTGGTTAGAGCTCCAGCACCATCTTATGATAATATAATAATCCTAATAGTAGAAGCCACTTGCCAAGGACGGCAGAGCAGAAATACAGAAAGCCTCTGATAACCTGTCATACCAGCCCTGGACCACCTAACATCACCCTTCTTTTATTGGCTGGGAAAAAAAGTCTTATTTAAGCCATCGTTACTCTGGGTCACTGTGACTAGCAGCTGAAGGTAATTCTTACAGATACAAGCTGGCTTCAGTGGTTTCACAGGTGCTTCTCTTCTAGCAATCTAAGACGGCATCATCCTCTGGTGCATAGGAAAATCCCAGGAAGGCACTTGAGGCCCCAGAACTGCTGGCCATAGTGTCGGGAGTGCAGCCAATGGACTTTGACACAGCTTCTTGGGTGAACTCTGGGTCAAAGTGTTTCAAGTCAGCAGGTCCTGCCTGTGAATATAAGCCAATGATAAGAAGGGAACACTGGGGTCAGAGCTGTCAAAGGAGCCCACAGCCATGAGAGAGATGTTAATGCTCCCCTCTGAGTGCCCCAGGGGCATCCTTACTTGTCACTTATTTATGCATTTACATTGGTCATTGTACTCCACGAGGTCCAATAACAATCTATCAATTCCTCCATCCCCTACCCCAGCACCCTACCTGCTCCACACCAACCCTCCAGACGCTGCTGGTAGGAAGTAGATTGTGACATAAATGCAGTATGAATCAAGGACATAAAAACTGTGCACAACAGGGCTTCCCTGGTGGTGCAGTGGTTGAGAGTCCGCCTGCCCATGCAGGGGACACAGGTTCGTGCCCCGGTCCAGGAAGATCCCACATGCTGTGGAGCGGCTGGGCCCGTGAGCCATGGCGGCTGAGCCTGCGTGTCCGGAGCCTCTCACAACAGTGAGAGTGGCCCGCGTACCGCGCAAAAAAAAAAAAAAAAAATGTTCACAACAGATACAGTACAGAGAACAAACTAGTGGTTCCCAGAGGGGAGAGGGGTAGGAGGAAGGGCAAAATAGGTGAAGGGGATTAAGAGGTACAAACTACTAGGTATAAAATAAGTTACAAGGATATAATGGACAGAACAGGGAATATAGTAATACTTTATAATAATTTCGTATGGAGTATAATGTATAAAAATATCAAATTACTATGTTGTACACCTGAAACTAATGTAATACTGTAAGTCAACTATATCTCAATAATAAATAAATAAGTAAAAATACATTCACATTCTTTGACTTGGTAATTCCCCAATTGGAATCCATCTTAAGGAAATAATCACCACTGTGGGCATAGATATGCACTTAAAGCTATTCATCAGTCCATTATGATAAAGAAAAAATGGTAATAACCTAAAGTTCACCATTAGGAATGTGGTAGAATAAGTTATGTTGCCAACATAGGGCTGAAATATTACACAGCCACTTAAAATCATACTTATAATGTCTTATATGACTTAGGGAAATAATGACATAGTTTTTAGCAAAAAGAAAGAGGGGAGAGATGATATTTATATATATGAAGTGTGACCTATGTAAAAAACATAGAAAAGACTTGAAGGAAACATGCCAGTGGTGCTTTCTCTTGGGTAGTGAGATAATAAGCTTTTTCTCCTTGATGCTTTAAACGTCTGTTTTACACACTTTCTAGAAAGAATACATGCCATTGTTATTATAAGGAGAAAAGCTAAACAGAGACAGAAAATCTTTACAGGGCTTGGCTCTGTCTGGGGGTGCTCCGTGACACAGCGCTTTAAAAACTGTAAAGAGCTCTGCGATGAGGGTTATTGGTGCTAAAAGTAAAGAAGTGCAGCCTGGCTCCTCACACAGAGCTGAGCTGGCGGTCAGGACTTCTGGGCTCTAGACCCAATTCTGCCTCTAACTTATGGGGTGGCCTTGGACAGATCACTGAGCCTCTTGGACCCTTGGTTCTCCCATCTGTAGAAAGACAGCGGGCTCAGATACCCTCCCCAGATACCCTCCAAGCTTCCATCAGCCCTGGGAATCCAGAATCTAGAATGTGAAGACCTCTTACCACATTAGGGTTGAAGGGTGGAGTCAGCCTCTTGTGGTACAAGTCGTCCCAGTTTATGGGGCTGAAGAATACATGGTTCTTTATCTCAAGCTGCAGGAAGAAGGTGCTGATCAGAAGTAGCCCTTTCCATTGGCGTTCCCACCCCACCTCACATGCCTCGGAGCTCCAACTCTATTGGCAACTGGTTGTCAAGCCCTAAACTCTTTACCAGGAAGGTAACTTGCCGTTCTGGCTGGTTTCCTGGGACAAAGGAGTGTCTGCAGTTAGACTTCTCCCCTTCGCCATTATCTCGAACTCCAGCCTTCTCCTCGTAGCAGTTGTTTATTCCACAGCTATTTAGTGAGCACCTACTCTGTACCATACTAGGCTGTAGAGGTATGTCAGTGAACAAGACAGCAGGACCTGCTCTTGGGGGCCCCAGGGGATCTTGGGGATCCCCTGTCCCCCATTCTGCTTCAGTGCATCCTGACTCTTCCAGAATTCTAACCAGAGAAATAGAGCAAATCGACTCACTATGGAAGATTTGGGAAATAAAGCCCCAAGACAAGCTGCAGTTTCCCAAAGATCCGGAATTTAGGATTCAGCCCTGGGCGTGATTCACCACTTCTCTCCTAATCCAAACCAGTGCTGGCACGAACTTCCACCTGTTCCAGCAGGACCCTCTCTCTACCTGTGTTTCTCAAAGAATGATTCTCTGGCTCCATATCAAACCCCCCGGGGGGTTGCTACAAAGCCAGATCCAAACTATTTCCAGACGAACACCCAAGAAACTGGTAACACTCATTGCCCCCAAATTTAAAAAACTCAGTGGCTGGAGGGACTTTTTCTGAATATCCTTTGGGTTTTGATCTATGGGAATGTATACCTTATTTTAAAAATCATACATATTTTTTAAGATGCAAATTTCCTCTGGGAAGGAGGGGACCTGTCTTCATGAAAGCCCTGTTCTTTAAGCTGTCCAGGGATGGGTAGGCAAATGCCCTAAATGTTGTTACACTTCACAGTATCTGGCATATAGGGCAGTTTGTAAAAGCACTACATGCTAGACACTGGCCTAGGTGTTTGTATATATTATTTAATCTTCATAAGAGCTATGAGCTGGGTGCTGTTATTACAGATGGGGAAACAGGCGCACAGAGAGAGGTTAGCCATGTGCCCAGGGTCCTGCACCTAGTAATTGGTAGAGGAGGGATAGGAACCCACGTAGTTTGTCTCACAATCCATGCATCTCAACTTCTACGCTAGAAGAGCAAACTTCTAGGGAGCATGCACAGTTGGGACAAATTATGAACCATAAGATACAAAAAGGCCAAAAACCAACTGCCACTTCTGAGGTGCTGGGAGCAAAAGCAGGATACCGGGCATGAGCCCTGCACACACCACCACCAAGGGGGTGGGCAGACAACCTAAGCCACCCATCCTGCCCGACCCAGAGATCTGCCCCTACTCTCACCCCATTTAAGGAATGAGTCCACCCCCCTCAGAGAGCAAGCAAGGGCACCTGTTACTTTTCTTTTGCCCCCTCGTGCTGTATAGCACAAGTCCCAGTAAAGCCCTGCCTGAATTCCTGTCTGGCCTCTCATCGTACTGTCACACTCTGTAATAATTTGTGTTCGTCTGTCTGCCTTCCCCTCATAAACTTAATAAGGGCAGAGACCCAGTCTAACGAATCCCTAGCATTTAGCTCAATGCCTGGCACATACGAGGTGCTCCATAAATACTGGTTGAATAAAAGCGTTAGAATGAAGGAAATAAGTAGGCAGCTGTGCATCTCCAAATGCGTGAATTAGCAGTGCCTGGGTTTAGAAAATAGCTGGATGCATGTCACTGCTTCTGGGTTGCCTCTGCAGGAAGCTGAGAGCCCCACGAGGGGCCTGTGCTCCGCTAGCAGGTCACTTACAAAGTCTGTTTGGGAGCCCAGCCGCTGCCTCTGGTCCTTGTGAAGCAGGGCTTGCAGGAGGTCGCAGGCGGCCACTGTCCGGCCCCCAGGGATCCGTAGTGGCTGGTTCAGAATGTTCTCATACATCTGGGACAAATCTTGGCTGTAGAAGGGCGGCTGGTGAGAGAGAGAGAGAGAGAGAGAGAGACGGGAGGACCATCCATGCTAAAGTGGGCACAGTTCTCAGGGACACTTGGAGCAAAGTGGGCAGCTGGAAGGATTCAGCCAGACCTGTGTCTCTGCGATGGCTCACATGGCAGATTGGAGAGAGACAGAGACCTAAGGGCATCCAGCACAGTGCACAGGCTGTTGGGAAGGCCGAGAAGTCTCTCCCCACCAGTGTGAGGCTTGTGGACCCCCCAGGTGCCTCCTCTATCCCATGTCTCTTAATCCAGCTTGTGCAACGACTTTGCACTTTGCAAAGTTAACAGTTTCCTGTCATCATTTCATCCCAGCCTCACAACCATCCTTTGAGACAGGTTGTAAGTTTTCAGATGAGAAGAGCAGGCAGCCTAGGATTGGGTCCAGGGGCTGGTTCCACAACCTGCCAGCACTGTGACCTTTCCGGGTCTCAGTTTTCTTGTCATGAGGCACCACAGGAGTAACGTGAGACGGTATACTGTAAAGTGCGGAACTGACTTTATTGAAAAAATATATCTAATCCTTGTGTTCACTTTGGCATCATCTTTTTTCAGCTTGGAGAGGAGTGATGGCTCATTCAGTTCCTCAAGGAGCCTGAGGAGGCCACACAAGGGACAGATCCACCCCCATCTCTTCCAAAGTCCGCTATACCCCACTCACCAGGCCGTGCAGCATCTCGTAGAGAACGGCCCCCAAGGACCACCAATCCACTGCCCGATCATAAGGCTCTTTACGAAGCACTTCTGGAGCCAGGTACTGTTGAGGGGAAATACATTTATCTGAAAGACACTCAGCCTCCGTCTCCCCATTTGTAAGCAAGGCACTTGGAGGAAAAGCTCAACAGGGGTTGATCCTGCTGTGATATTTACTTGTCTGTGCCTATGTTTATTCAGCATCCATTTGTCAAAGACCTGATTTGCGTGGGGCTCTTTGCCAGTGTGCTAGGGACATAGAGGAGATCAGGCAGGACTGCCCTGTACAGTTGTATGTGTTGTGCATCACACAAAAGTACCAACCAAAGGGGTAAAAGGGGCTGCAAGCCTGGCTATGATCAACTTACCAAGCCATAACCCTAGTATAGGGGTGCATCTGACAACTGACATATATTTATTTTTAAATTTTATTTATTTATTTTTGGCCATGTTGGGTCTTTGTTGCTGCTCAGGCTTTCTCTAGCTGCAGTAAGTGGGGGCTACTCTTTGCTGTGGTGCAGGGCTTCTCATTGCAGTGGCTTCTCCTGTTGTGGAGCACAGACTCTAGGTGTGCAGGCTTCAGTAGTTGTGGCACGTGGGCTTAGTTGTTACGTGGCGTGTGGGATCTTCCCGGACCAGGGCTCGAATCCATGTCCCCTGCATTGGCAGGTGGATTCTTAACCACTGTGCCACCAGGGAAGTCCCAACTGACATATATTTAAAGGGGAAACTTTTTCTAATTAGTCTGCCCAAAGTGGGTGCCTTTATCGAATTTGCTCAAAAGCATCCAATCAGTGTCTTGGGACTAGGAAAGCCCTGGGAATACTCCCGGGGCAGTGGGAAGACTAACGGATAAAGTGTAAGTCAGTGTGGCACATACTTGCTCTGGAAATCTTAGTAACAGATGAATGGAAAGGAGTCAGGAAAGAGGAGGTGGCACTTGTGTTCCTCCTGACAGCTGAATGCGTGCCTTGCTCAAGGAGAGAACCTGAGGCAGAGCTGTGCTTCCTGCCAAACCCGAGGGCTTAGTGGCCTCTTAGCCTGGTGTCTCTGCCACTGAGGAAAGGGGTCTCAGCAACAGACAAAGCCACTTCGAGAGACTGTGCGTGCGGAGAGGGGCAGGGAATTACGCAGACCTGAGCCCTACTGGGTGTGTGGTCACAAGCAGGTCATTGAACCTCCTAGAACCTTGGTTTCCTCATCCACATAATGGGACTGCAGAATCCCTCTCTAGGGGCTGTGTTAAGGACACATGCTAACATATGTGTTACCCCTTGAACAATGGGAGCAACTGTGGTTACTCCTGTCTGTGCTCCCAGCACCATGGCAGTGGCTGAGTCATGGAAGACACTCGTCAGGGCCACATGTCTCCGACACAATCCAAGGTGCCGTATCCCCTCCTCGCCTCAGCAGTGTCCAAGGAAGGGACGGCTGGGCTTTTAGGCTTTGGGAGGCCAGTTCTGTCTGAGGACACCCTGCCATACCCAAACACAGACAATAGCTCCTGCTTAGAGAGGCCGTCTGTCCATCAGCTCCCCTAAAACCAAATTGAGGAGATAGCTGAAATCTGAGACCCAGATTCTCAAGCACATGGAGAAAAACAAAAGCTAAGCTCCTGTCCCATGCCAGTTCGGGAGAACTTGCCAGCCCTGCAGCCTCAGTCCCCCACCCCCAATCCAGACATCTGTCCAAGCAGCTGGGAAACCCTTTGGACCCAAGGTCCAAGGAGTTTAAGGAAAGGTTTTTAACCCCAAAGCTGCAGGGAGGCCTTGGCAGGACAGAGAGATGTATGTGAATTACTGCTGAAACTCGCAAATTTTAACCCTCCAGGATCTTGGTGGCTGGAATAAGGAGGTAGACCAGTGTCTTCACCCTTGCAAACCTTGATCTTAACTGTCAGGCCAGGGCCTCCTGTGGCACATGGACTTCACCCTGTAGGGCAGTGCTGTCCAATACAGTAGCCACTAGCCACACATGACTGCCGAACATTTGAAATGTGGCTGAGCTGAGCTGAGCTGAGAGGGACCATAAGTATAAAAGGCATACCAGATCAAAGACTTAGTTAGGAAAAAAAAGAATAAAGTATTTCAACAATTTTATGTGGATTGTATGTTGACATGATACTACTTTGCCTGTGTTAGGTTAAATAAAATATATTACTAAAATTGATTTCTCCTCTTTCTTTTTTCTTTTTAAATGTGCTTGCTGGAAAATTTTAAATTGCATATATGGTTTGCATTTCTGTTTCTATTTCTATCGGACAGCACTACTGCAGGGTTTCACCAGCCGGGTGCCAGCAGCCCCTAGAGCTGGTGCCCCCATGACACGGAGGAGGGAACCAAGGCTGAGTGTACAGCCGGCTCGGGGAAGTGCTTGGGTGGAAGAAGTGAGTCCCTCTGATATAAGCTGGTGGCCCTAATCAGGAGCTGTGGCCTCATCCACTCCCGGCCTTGCGCCTCCCAGGAGGTTTAGCTTACCTCTGGGGTGCCACAAAACGTGGACGTGGTCTCCTCAGGCTCTACACCTTCCTTGCAGAGGCCAAAATCCGTCAGCACCACGTGTCCCTATAGAGGAGGGAGGGCAGGGGTGGGAGGGTGGTCTGAGCCAAAGGTATACCCAGGTCTATCCCCAAAGCCCAGATGCCACATCTGGGGCAGCGGCTGTGGGGTCTGATGTCCCTGGCAAAGGCACGAGCTGGCGGCTCCACTCAGAGACTCAGTGCTTCTAACCTGGATGCTAAGAGCAGCACAGGGGCCAGGTGGGGAGATGGCATTGCACTGTCTACTCCCAGCTCATCACAAACTCAGATCGACAACCTACAACAGCAGCAGTTCCAGAATGTTCTCGCTGGAGGGGCCTAGTGGCAGCAGCCCCCTTAACAGAGGGCTGGGGACCCAGAAAGCATGCCTTGTGGCAGCTGAGTGAGAGGGTGGTTGGTAGAGCAGTGAGTGGATGCTGTGGGGCTCTGTCCAGATCCCCTCTTTAGGAGCTGTCCCACGCATCCCCCCATGCTGGGCCATTGCCCTCATCCAAAGTCATGCCCCCACTCAAGGGGCAATCCCCATCCAATGACTGGTCAGTGTGGGGGCACAGATGCCCAGCCTCCTTGCCTCAGTCTGGAACAGTTCAAAGAGTCATCCCAGCTCAGGCCCACCCCACCCCTGTACGATCAGCTGAGGAGGCCTCACTTGCAACCACAAGGCAGGCGAGCTGCTTCCTCTGCCCAGTCCTGCCTCCTCAGCCCCTTAAACGTGGATCTCTTGAGAGTGTCCCCCAGGAAGCTTCTGCACCCAGTAGCCCATCTCAGAGTCTATTTCCAGGGAACACAGTCTATGCCACGGAAGGACTACAAATCCTCGAGCCTCCACATGACTCCACCCCTGCCCCCCACCCCGTATACACGTACACGCACATGGATACGTAGCCACGTGTACACATAACGCATATGCGTGTACATATATGTGTGTATACAGGCATAGGCACACATGCACACACATACTTGAATGCGTCCCTAGCCACATGCACGTATGCACAATGCGTGCACACACACTCACGGGCACACAGCACACACGCACACACACATACCCACCAACCTGGCCGTCCAAAAGAATGTTCTCTGGTTTCAGGTCCCTGCAGAAAACGAGAGAAAAGGGCGCTGTGATGTCACAGCTGCTTAGTGACATGAGCTGGGGACCGGGGTCCTGCAAGAGGAATCTTCATGGAGATGCAGAGATGCACAGGGAGAGCCCGAGGAGGATGGGCACTCAATCTCAGGAAGGAGGGGGCCCCCACTCGCTGGCGGGCCCTCCTCCTCAGACAGAGGACCAGGTTCGCCAGGATTTCAGCAGGGTCTGGGGGTTCATACGACGCCTGGCTGTTGGGGCAGAAGGGCCAGGCCTAGCTCTGAGCCACAGGCAGGCCTCACCTGTAAATGATGTTGAGAGAGTGCAGGTAGCCAATGGCGCTGGCCACCTCGGCGGCGTAAAACCGGGCCCGGGGCTCCAGGAACCGGCGCTCCCGCTGCAGGTGGAAGAAGAGCTGGAGGGGGAGGAGACAGGTGAGCGGGTTCCTGGGGGGCTCCAGCTCCTCGAGAGTGGGGTGGGGGGCAGCTGGCCAAGTGACCCACTCTCTAAGCTGCAATGTCCTCATACAAGGAAGGGCATGCCGGTCCCTGCTCCACAGAGCGGGCAAAGTGTCAGCAGGAAAGATGAATTAGCAGGGGTGGACCACCTACTGAGTTTCAGGCTCCAACCAGACCCTCCCACATCTCTAATCTCCTTTAATCTTCCTGACTACCTTCCAGGTATCAAGTAGGAGGCCAGTTTCACAGAAAAGGAAACTGGAAGAGTCAGAGCAGTCAGGTGACTTGCCCAAGGTCACGTACTGTAATTGGCAGAGCTGTGATGTGAACCCGGGTGCGCCAAAGATGTGCTTTTCCTCCAACCCAGGTGATAAAATGATTATGATGGTCAGACTGAGCCTAGGTTAGATCTGCTCCCGGGCCAGTTGCTTTGGTCTATTTGGCTGGCAAAGAAAGCCCTTTACCTCCACCGGGGAATTTAGGGATGCAGGACAAAAACTTCCCTCTTGGCATCAGGCTAAGGAGCATGAGGTCACACAGGTTAAATCTGGGGTCACTGAGAAGGGCCATCTTGTCATCTTGATCAGAGAGGCAGAAGAGGGAGCCCAGCTTATCCCAGCTGTGCTTCTGGGGCACCAGGTGGCCTCAGATCATTCCCACAGGGACTGGTCACTCCCATGCAGTGGTCTTTGGTGTAAGATGGGGGCATTAGAAATACTGACCACAGAGCTCCTCTAACATTGACTTTTCCCAGGTCCACTGAAGGGATTGTGGGCAGCTCTGCTTGGAAGTCAAGTCATGATGATGGCTGGGAGTTCGATGGACCTGCCTTCAAATCCTGGCTCTGCCGGGTACAGGCTGAGTGGCCTTGAGCAAGTGAGTTACCTGCCCGAGCCTCGGTTTTTTTCAGCTGCAGAATGGGTCTGTTGTAAGGATGAGGGGAGATTGTTCCAGAACCTGGGGCACCATGAGCATGTGGGATGGAAAACTCCTGCTGAGGGCCGGGCAGGGAAGGCGCCAGGTGGAACTATACCCACCTCTCCCCCGTTGACATAGTCCAGCACAAAGTAGAGCTTCTCCGGCGTCTGGAAGGAGTAGCGCAGGCCCACGAGGAAGGGGTGGCACACGTTCTTCAGGAGCACGCTGCGCTCCGCCATGATGTGGCTCTGCTGCAGAGTCACACAGACGGGCCGTGTCACCGCCTACACGGCCACCTCACCCAGGACCTTCTCGTGCCCCTGCTCAAACACCCACCGTGACTCCTCACTGCCCTCGGAGCCAAGCCCAGGCTCCTTGCTTAGTATCCAGGACTCTGCGGTCTACCTCATCCCTGACCAGTCCACGTGGGTGCACCTCCAGCCCTGGATCCAAATGCCCCGCCCCCCTCCCCGGGACAGTAAGCAAAGCTATGTTAATACCGCATAAATGAGTCCCAAGGACAATCCTGCAGAGGGAGAAGCTGAGCGTTATCCACATTCAGCCTCGGTTGCTGTCCCCCTGCCTGGATGCCGTTTTCAGACCATCAAAATCCTAGCTTCAAGGCCAGCTGCAAGGCCACCTCCTTCAGCTTTCTGAAGGACACCTTCCCTTCGATGTCCTTGTTAACATTAATTCCCTCTCCTGAGTCCTCCAACTTGATATCCAGTTCTCTCTCAGGGCCCGCTCTGTCCTTCTCATGGAGCTGGTGTTAAGAGACTCAAGTCAGCCAAAGTATCTAGAACTCCCCGTTGGCTGTAGCTTGAAGCGCCTTTGGAGAGCCGGAAGTGTGATCCCCACGTTGCACAGATGGGGAGGCCAGCACCTGACAGAGCAGAGGACTGGTCCACCACGGAGCCCTGAATCTTTAGGGGAAAGCAGAGAGCCGGGCCGGGTCACCTGCAGGCCCTTGGGGTAAGGCGGTTAGCCTGCCTTCCTGGAGAAGGGTCAGCATCCCAGGCACCACCTGGCCCCCCTGCTGGGCCACCTCTGCGCCCAGAGTTGCTACGCATCTTTGGAAGCCACCTGAGGCTGGGGGCGGGGGGCCGTCAAGAAGCAGGAGAGGAGATGCCTGGGCCCAAGCCCTGGTACCTCTTTCTTCTTTAAGATGGACTTCTTCTGTAGCACCTTCACTGCGTAGAACATCCCGTCAGACTTGTGCTTGGCCAGTAGGACCTGAGCAGAAAGACAAATGCAGAACCCGTGGTGACTACTCCTCCAGGCTTTGTATTTCTCGATGGCAGTGCAGGCCTCCAGCCCCTGCCCTGCGCCCATGATTCTGCAGGTTGTAAGCTCCCTCTCTGCATGTGCAGGTAACAGCAGGGGGCAGAAGAGGCCAGAGAAGGGGAGATGCAGGCCTTCCATGCTCACGGGTCACTCACCTTCCCATAGTTTCCTTTGCCAATGACCTTGAGGAAGTCGAAGTCGGTGGGCCGGGCACTGGGGGACGAGGGAGGAACACGGGTCAGCATTTGCAAGCTTGGGAAACTTGATGCTTTAGTTCAAATCAGAGCTTCTTTTTAACTTTGAAGCTGGAGAAGGCAGGGAGCTTTCTAAGAACGCCACGTTCTCCCAGCCGGGAGGGTCTTATAAGGCTGGCCCCCGCCCCTGGGGATCTCACAATCGTGTAAGAACAGACAAGGCCGGGAGAAAACCAGACACAACAGCATAGAAGGCAAAGGAATCTGACCTCCGAAGACTGAGAAGGGCCTTGAGGGTGGGGAGCTGCTAGTAATGCAGACTTTGGGGGATACTTCAGCCACAGAGCTCAGCATGGGCAGAGGCTGGGGAATTAGTGGGAGATGAAGCTAGGTGCCGGTCCTAGGCCCAGATGGCAGAGGATCTTGACGCTGGGCCAGAGAATTGGATTATATTCCCAAGGTGAGGGGGGAGCCAGGTATGAGGGGAGCCAGGGAGGAAAGTTATATGAGAGATGAGAACTCACTTTGGGTTGGCCGAAGGCCCCAGGTTGATATTCCCATTGGCCCTTGAGGGCTAGAGACATTTAAAGAAAGAAGTGATTAAAATCAGAGGGTCCCTAGTCCTTGGCTCCCTCTCTTTCCCCTGGTCCAAGTCCTGCTCCTTTTCCAGTATCTCTATTAGGCTTCTTCCCTCCCTCCCTCCCTCGTCCCTCCCTCCCTCCCCCCTCCCTCCCTCCCTCCCTCCCCCCTCCCTCCTCCCTCCCTCCCTCCCTTCCTTCCTTCTTTCCCTCCACCTGCCAACCCACCCACCATCTCACCTGCTTCACACAACAGCCTTGGGAGGCTGCTGGCCGTTGTACCAAATGTGAGCGTGAGGAAACTGAAGCCCAGAGAAGAGCCATCCAAGGACTTCCAGGATGCCCCACTGGCATGAGAACGCAGGTGTCCTCAGGGCCAATCCCATGATTTCCCACCCCATTTACTTCTTGAAGCCCTTGCCCAAGTCTCTTCTCTCTTTACCCTGTAAACGTCCCAGTTCTGTGGGCTCAGAGTGACCCCTGCGGGCACCCCCAGTCCTGGGACCGCCCACGCGGCTGACTGGGACTTCCAGGGCTTTCCTCAGCCTTGGGAGGAAGTGAGCCCCCTGGTGGTGGGTGGGGGAACCAAGACCCACTCACCTGCAGACTGGGGGTCCCAGCCGGGCTAGAGTCCATCTTGTAACAGTGATCAGGTGGGCTCTGGGGACACAAGGAGAAACAGGATGAGAGAGCTGATGTTGGGGAATTAGTGTCACCTGTCTGGGGCCTTAGGCACCGCTGCCCTCTCCACCCTTCCCCAACCCAGACACCTGCCCGAGGTCAGCAACCCCTTCGTGGGACAAGAAATGATATCCCCTGGACCCAGCCTCTCCCATCAAACATCTCAGGAGGGAGAGGGAGGATGGTCAGCGGTGGCCCCTCCTAGGCTGAGTCCTTTCAAGGGTTGAGGACGGCCAGGGCAGCAAGATCCCTGTGAGCCAGGGCAACTCTGGATATCTGGGGTGGCCAAGGCTGGAAGGAGACTTGCAGAGCATGAAGTCTGAACCCTTCCCCCCATTTCACTGGTGGGAAGTCTGAGGCCCAGAAAGGGACTTTCCTAGGGTCCCACATCTTGTGAGGGGCAGGCTGGGCTCCCCTGGATCCCTGTGGACAGCCCCGGGCTGGGCTCTGTGCTGACTATTATCTCTCTGCCACAGAGACTTCTGCCTAATGTCCCTGGAAGGGCAGCTGCCCTGGGGACCTTGGGCCAGAGCCATGGACAGACCCACTGACCTATGTCTATTTGAGATGAAACAGTGGAGAGTGTGACCAATGGTCTATGTGGCCAGGAGCATATGTCTTCCCTGCCCCCAGCCTGCAAGGTGGGGGAGGCCGGTATGTCCAGGCCCTGGCTCAGCCCAGGACCCCAGAGCCCTATCCCTGCTTGGAAGGTCAAGGCCAAGAACCGAGATCTCACCTGAGAACCCAGTTGCTCGTGCAGGCTGCTGGGCACTGTGCATGCCAGGACCACAGCTTTGGCCTACTGTGGGACCTGGGCTGCAGTAGAGACCACCCGCCTTTATAAGGAGGTCCCTGGAGCAATCACCCCCTGGCCTTCTTGGGAGCTGAGAAAGGGACCACAGGGGAAGCGAGGGAATGGCCCAGCCCTGTGGAGCCCTGAGCCACAGAACTGCCCAGATAGGGAGTGTGGCCTGGCTTCAGCCAGTGCCCCGTGTCTGTGCTCCCGCAGACAGCCCACACGCCCCCCTGGCCTGGCCCTGACAGCCCCTCTGCCAGGCCCCGGCCTCCCCAGCCCCACGTACCTGCACAGCCTGAGGAGAGGCCGCGGGGAGAACCAGTGGTTGGAGCCGGAGGATGGTCAGTGGACAAGAGAGCCTCTCTCTGTTCTCCCAACAAGGGCCGAAGTGTCTGTGCCTGGCGCCGGCCTGGCCCCGGCACCCAGCTCGGAACTCCCGGCTGCAGCAAGGGGGCTGTTGATGTCACGCGGGAGCCAGCGGGGCTTAAGAAGGGACCGAAGACCTCTGTTCCCTCGGGGACATCGCCTCCCCCTGGGGGGTGTGGGTGGAAGGCGGTGAGTGACAGCTGCCAGAGAGCCCGGGCGATGCTGGGGCTTGTTAGAATGCGTGTGAGAGTGTGGGGCAAGGAGTGTGTGTGCAGGTGTTTCGTGCAGAAATGTGTGTCAGTGTGTCTGTCTGTCTGGTGTATCAGTGTGTCCCTGTATGTCAGGGTATTTGTGCATCCGTGTGACCACGTTTGTATAATTTTGTCGGTGTGTCCGTACATCTGTGACTCTCTGTTCTCACTGTGTGGAGATGTGCTTCAATGAGTCTCTGTGTAGTGTAGTGTGTGGACATGGCAGTGTGTACCTCTATATATGTTAACGTGCTGTTTGTGTATAAGTGTGAGTCTGTGTGATACCTGTGTGTGACAGTCGTCATTGTGTGTCTGTGTTCATATTGGTGTATATCAGTAAATTGTGTGTGTGTGCTGTATATGTGTGTGTGTGTGTGTGTGGGTGTGTAGGGGGCCTGTCTATGAGGAGACATGTTCCCCAGGGCCTACCAAGGCCTGGTACAGACCATCTAGGGCTGAAGATGAGGTTCCAGAGACCTCACCGTGGCAGCCGAGAGCCCTTTGCCTCCCAAGAACCTGCAGGTGTTTCAGAGCCCGGGTGTCTGGCTCAGTCAGCGTGGCCTTGGTCTTTGCTGAACACCTGGCCCTCTGGGCCTTTCCCTGCCGGCCCTCCGGGGCTCTGGCCGCTGTCTCCAGGGCAGGGCTGGTTGGCTGTGTAAGAGCCAGGAAGCAGGGTCCCGGTGGCACCCTGGTGCATGAAGGCCTTGCTGCCTGGTGCGATAATCAGGTACTCACAGGGTCCCTTCCTCTCTCTCGCGGAGGTTACATGGGGCGTTCTGGGGAATGAAGGAGTTGACAGGGCCTGACTAAGCTCCTGCCCTTCTGGAACTTTCTATGTGGTTACCACATGCCACACCCAGACCTCTGTAGTTCACCACAGCGTGGGTATCTGTGCAGCTGGGGCCGAGGGGGCTGGTCAGGGAGGGACCTAAGCCCAGTGGCCTTGGGGGTTCTCTGTGGGCTCTGAAGCAGGGGTGTCATACGAGGAAAACCCAAGAACAGTATCAGAGCTCTCCATTTTTTAAGAACAGAAATGTTGAACCAATACACAGATGGACAGGATATCATGTTGGCAAAACAAATGCCCAGAACAAGGACATTTCTTTTCAATGATGAGACACTGATGCAGCCTTCATTTAGGAGCACTGCTTAGAACAGGAAAACAATAATAAAAATAATAATAACCTCAGTGTCCCACAGTAGGGCACTTCAGAATACCCGCCGGCTGTAATAGCGCCCTCTCTGGAACTTACATCCCTCTTGAGAGACTGTCCCACTGCTATGTTCGCTTCTCAGTTAAAGTCCTTGAGAGTTGTCTGGACTTGGTCCCCACTCCCCCTCCTTTTCTCTCTTGAACCCATTCCAAAGAGGCTGTCATCCCATTATGCCTCCAGAAGAGTGGACCAATGACCTCCTGTGGCAGAGCCAGCGATGGATTCTTTGACCTCATCTAAGTCAGTGTCTCTGAGGACATAACCTCTTTTTCGCAGCTGGCTTTAGGATCTCCCGGTTTCCCTCCTGCCTCGTGGATTGCTCTTTCTTCAGATCTTCCACTGGATTCCCCTGTTTTTTACCCTGAAACACTGGCCCGGCCTCTATCTATACTTGTTCCCCAGTTGACCACAACCAGTTTCATGGTTTTAAGTGTCGACTAAACGCCACGATTTCCAAACTCATCTCTCTAGTTCTGCTTCTCTCCTGACTCTGGCTTCTCTGACACTTCACTAGTTAGATGCCTAGAGGTGCTTCACTCTTAACATGTCCAAAAGGAAAGTCTTGAACCTTATTCCTTCCACTCTGCCCCAGACTACTCCTCCCTCTGACATCCATCTCAGTAATGGTACTACCACCTACTCAAAAGTTCAAGCCACCAACTCGGAATTCATTCTAGAAACTCTGCACCCTCATCCCTCCTCCATTCCACCATGAAATCCCATTAGACTCCACCTTCAAAATATATCCAGAAACTACTGCAACCACCCTGTCCTGAGCCACCATCATCACTTGCATGGATTATTGCCCTAGCATCCCTACTGTGTCCCTATTTCTTTTTTTTTTAATTAATTAATTTTTATTGGAGTAGAGTTGCTTTACAATGTTGGGTTAGTTTCTGCTCTATAGCAAAGTGAATCAGTTATATGTATACATATATCCCCTCCTTTTTGGATTTCCTTCCCATTTAGGTCAGCACAGATCATTGAGTAAACAGTAGGTTCTCATTACTTATTTATTTTGTACATAGTAGTATATATATGTCAATCCCAATCTCCCAATTCGTCCCACCCCTCTCTTCCCTCCTTGGTATCCATAAGTTTGTTCTCTACATCTGTAATTCTATTTCTGCTTTGCCAATAAGTTCATCTGTACTATTTTTCTAGATTCAGCATATAAGCGATATTACACAATGTTTGTTTTTCTCTTTCTGACTTACTTCACTCTGTATGACACTCTCTAGGTCCATCCACGTCTCTGCAAATGACACTATATCGTTCCTTTTTATGGCTGAGTAATATTCCATTGTATATATGCCTGTGTCCCTGTTTCTATCTTGAGCCTCTAGAATCTTTCTTCACCAAAGCCAGAGTGACCCTTTAAAACTGGAAATCAGATCATGTGACTTTGTTGCTCAAAAACTCCATTGTTCTTCCCACCACACTTAGGATTCAGATCCAAAGTCTTTTCCACAGTCAACAAGATTCCACGTGACCCGGCTCCCATCTCCATCTCCACCTGGGTCTCCAGGCCCTCCCTCTCACTACGCTAGGACCTGTCTGGCCTTTTTGCTGTTCCTCAAACACACAGAGCTCCCTCTAGTCTCCTGTCCCTTGCACTTACGTTTCCCTCTGCTTAGAATTCTTACCCCAGATGTCTGCATGGCTGGCTTCCACTAACATCACAGAAGTCTCTGCTCAAATGTCACCTCTCAGAGAGGACTTTTCTGATTGTGCATAACTGATTGTCCCAGTTTGTCTTGGACCTAGGGGTTTCCTGGGATGTGAGACTTTCAGTGCTTAAACCAGTACAGTCCTGGGCAAACCAGGATGGTTGGCCACACCGCAATACAAGTCCCACCGGTTCCCCATCCGGTGTAAGACCTCACTCTCTGACACCTTATCCTGCAACTCTTTAATTGTTTATTTTCTGTCTTGAACTAGAACATCGGCTCTGTAAGTGCAAAGATTTTTCTTGTTCACTGTTGAATCTCCAGCATCTAGATCAGAACCTGGCATATGGCTGGTGCTCAGTACCTATTTGACTGATGAATCAAGGGACGAACTGATAAGATAAATTATAGTACATACATAAAATGGAAAATTACCCAGCTAAAAAATGGTATACGAGGGCTTCCCTGGTGGTACAGTGGTTAAGAATACTCCTGCCAATGCAGGGGACACAGGTTCGAGCTCTGGTCCGGGAAGATCCCACATGCTGTGGAGCAACTAAACCCGTGCGCCACAGCTACTGAGCCTGTACTCTAGAGCCCGCAAGCCACAATTACTGAAGCCCGTGCGCCTAGAGCCCGTGCTCCGCAACAAGAGAAGCCACCGCAATGAGAAGCCTGCGCACTGCAATGAAGAGTCGCCCCCGCTCACTACAACTAGAGAAAGCCCGCAGCAACGAAGACCCAACGCAGCCAAAAGTAAATAAATAAAATAAATAAATTTATTAAAAAAATGGTATACAAGCTTATGTGAATCAAAACGGGAACATACATGTGATACAACGTCAAGGCAAAAAGCAGGTTTCCAAATGGTAGGTGACCAGGAATACCATCTTTGTAAAGAAAGTATAGACATGCAAATAACCATCAAAAAAACGGCTGGAGGGACACGACCCAAGGTGACAGTGGGTTACGTTCCTTTTTATCTTTGTACCACTGTGTAAAAATTCTCAAGTGTTGCTGTTCACTTAATACTTAGGTACTAAGTCCTGGTGGGAGCTTTGACATGCTTGCTGCCCCCAAACACACTCTCCCATCACCTTGACTGTGACTCCTACACCTGAGCAAACTCTCAGCATCTTTCTCTCCTGGTACCACTGCCCTCTGATTTTTCTGGCCAGAGGCTGAATGAACATCGATACTTTTCCCCTGACTCTTCAGACCTGCAGAGACCCCTGCAAACTCCCGGCGGGGGGGTAGTCCAAGCTCCTCCGTGAACCCTCCAGCCTGTTCCTCCCCCTAACTTGCCCCAGCCTAGACTTGCATCCCTCTGCCCCATCACTACACTCACCTGCCCCCATCTCCCTGGACCTGCTGAATGCGGTGGGAGTGCGGGTGGTGTCACACAGCTCCCTCTTCTTGGAACACTCCCCTGACCAATCTGGTCTGCTCAGCTAACCTTTGTACCTGTCCTCGCTCGCCTTCCCCAGAAGCCCCGCCAGACCACCCCCAGTGCCATGAACCCTAGCTCCCTTCCTTGGGTCCACTTCTGTTATTACACTGTCTTCACTCTACTGTCATTTATTCCTTTACAAGCCTGCCTGCCCAGTGCCCAGCAATGACATACCAATGACAGTGCATACCAACTGGGTCTTATTTTGTTCCTGCAGTGCCATGGGTTAGGAACTATCATCATTGCTGTTTTAAAGAGGAGGAAACAGGCATGGAGAGGCGAAGTGACTTGACTGAGACATCTAGGTAGTAAATGATATAACTGGGTTTTGACCCAGGCAGTCTGACTCCAAAGCCCATGGCCTGGAATTTCAG